TTTTTCTTCAAAGTCTTTTTCATAGGGCAATTCTATCATGTGTTGTTTTCTATCCCAAAAAGCATTAGGAATATCTGCACAAATTTGTTTTTGAAATAATTCTTCTAGTTCTGATATTCTTTTTTGTATTTTAATATCATTTATTTGTTCTTCAATTTTTAAATAAGCTTTTTCTTCTTTAATATAGTTTATTTGTTGTTGTACTTTAGTGATGGTATTTATTGTTTTATATATTGAAGATGTTTGTAATGTTTGTAATTCTTTCTGTCTTATTGGAGTTAGAAATTTGAAGGTAATAATTTTTCCCATTATATTTACTGAAATTCCTTCATGACTTACTAGAAATGGATATATTTGAATTAAAAAAGGTGTACCTAATATTACATCATGATTTATATTGTTTACAATTATGAAATTATGTCTAATACAATATTCATTATTACATATTGATCCTTTGGTAAATTTATATTTTACTTCTAAATCTTCTCCATTTGCTGCCATTAGTTTTTCTTTTGTTCTTTCACAATATTTTGTGGGAATTATTCCTTCTTTTATACAACTTGTATCAGCTCCACTATCTATTAGAGCTACAAAGGTTTCTTTGAAATCTTCTACTGTAATGGTAACTAGTGCAAACCATTTTTGAAAAGTCATTTTTTCTATAGTATTTATATACTGGTCTTCTTTTATTGGGTTTTCTGCTATTGATATTTCGTTTGTTTTAGTATTAGAGGTTGAAGGTTGATTATTATCTATTAATGTTAATTTTGATTCTATTTCTAAATCTTTTAATTTTAATTCTATTATTTCTTGTTGTAATTGTTTTGCTTGTATTGGAAAAACCTCTGCCAATGTCATTGGTAAGAGAATTCAAAATAAAATGGTGGACTGGATTCAATCAAGAATTTGGCGATCAAACTAATGTGATCAGATTCCTGACCACTGGAGACAAATTAAAGTGGACAGCTACTACCACTACTCAAAAGGAGACAAGACAGTCAACAATCATTCCACCCACTACACCAGTCACTCCAAAAAGAGACAAAGAAAAAGTGACGGAAATGGCATCCGAAGAAACAGCCAGTAACTTTTTGATAAAGCAAATTATGCAGAACCCCGAGATGCTGAAAGAATATTTGAATTATTTACAAAAGCCAAAAGAAGAAGACAAAATAGAGGAGCCAGCAGGATCATCCGAATCTACTTTTGATCCTTTTGATGATCCCATCGGTGGACAAAATCCAAACGACTTTTGAAAAAGAATGTCGGCCACCACAAATGAAAGCAAAATTCAAATGAAATGCAGAATCGAGCCTCTATAAATAGATTCAAGATTCAGAAGACAGGCATCGGCGAAGAAATATCAGAAGTTGTAATAGACTTGTCTTAGTTTTCCTACGATTACCACTCACTCCGAAGTTCTCCTACTATTCCCACTCACTCTAAATAACCATTGTACTCCAAAGTCTTTGTAGAAGTGGATTTCATCATTACAATAAAGTCTTCAAGGTTGGAATTCATTACAAGCTTCCGTTAGGCACTCAACAATCAAAAGTAAGTCCAACTATTTATGTTTATTACATTCTAAGTCCCTACAATATTTGCTTCTAGTTAACGTATATGATTAATTGCAAAGTCCTGGGTAGAAGTGGTATCAGAGCCACACCCTTATTTGCATAAGCATATTTAGACTTCGTCTTTACATTTTCTAACTTTGAATTTAGTCTCTATTTAAATTATCTATTTCATGCATTTATGATCATTTATTTTATTAAACTTTTACTGAAAACGTTGGTAAGACTTGAGGCCTTGTTAGTCCGTTGGTAAGTCCAGAAAAGGATGTTCCAGGCATAGTGCTCGGTTGTTCCCGTCTAGGTAAAAATTTAATTAAAATAATAAACATGGCTGCATTTTTTAGACAATTAAAAATAGGATCAAATTCAAAACGAGATAATGTAATACAAAGTCATGAATATCATATGCCTATAAATAATTCAGATTGGACTATTCCAGAAGAAAAAATAGAACATATTTATAGAATAGGCCCTTTAGATTTCAAAACTGCTTTATCAGTTAAAACTCATGAAGAAACCATATCACTTCAAGAAGAATATCAATCAATTCAACTATTAAATCATAGCACAATTCAAAAATATTTAAGAAAAGAATATCGATATATTCATATAGGTTTAATACAGATTGCTGTAAAACCTTTATTCCATCTAGGAGTTGATGCTCCAATATATTTAGCATTAAGAGATACTAGAATAAAAAGATATAAACCTTCTTTATTATCAATGATTCAAACAAATGTTTGTAATGGACCAATATATTTTAACTGTGCTCCAAATTTTTCAATAGACTTAACAGATCCACACATTTTGAATTCAGTCATATTAGATATTCATCTACAAGGAAATGAATTTGAAAATACTTCAACTTTCAAGTATAAAACTCCTGTTCCAGAAGTTATAAATCAAAATCAATCAGATTATTCCCCGACCCATTCTCAAATGAAAGGAGAAATAAATGTTATAAGTAAACCATATAAAGTAAATCATAAATATTTACAAGAAGATTTTGATAATGAAGAAAATACTGAAAAAAGAATTTGGTTTTTTCAATTAGAATCAAAATATAAAGAAAAATTAATACTAGAATGGAAAGAGGAATTAGAAAAAAGAAAATTTGATTTTCCTTTCTTTACCTGGTTATCATTTTACATTTCAAAAATAGGAATTAATGATGTTTATAATACTTCTCAAATAAATGTTCAAACTAATTTATATAAAAAATGGAAATTAAAAGACGATCAAATATTAACTTCAATTCACCCCCCATTACAAGAAGTAAAAATTAATATAGGACAAGGAGAAATTATAGCCTCACCTTTTAAAAAAGGAAGAGAAGTTGAATCAAGTACAAATAATTCAATAAACCTAGAAGATATTAAAAAGGTTTATCAACAAAATAATTATACAAATCAAATTCTACATACGATATCTCAACATATGGAAATATTAAATACAAAAATTGACACTCTAAAGAAATCAGATTCAAAATTCCCAAATGATATATCAGCACCTCATTTCCAACCTAGAAGTTTGACAAGAGAAAAAGAGCAAGATTTAGTACAAAGTATTAATAATCAAAAAATAAATACTACAGATAATTTATTAAATAAAATATCTAATGCATTACAAAATCTAACTACAGATTCTAATTCTTCAGTAGAATTTTCTTCTATTATTTGGTCTAATGTGTTTATTTAGCAAGATACCACTTTAATTTATTACCACGATACCATGAAATTTTATTAAAATTTCAAAAAACTTTGAAATCTGCTATATAATTTAAGCATCCTAGAAATCTTTGTAATTGAGTTTTATCTTTTATTTCATCTGGAAATTTAGTAGCAAATTCTAAAGCTCTATTAATTGGTTTTATTGTTCCTTGATATATATTATGTCCTAAAAATCTTACTTTAGTTTGAAATAATTTCATTTTTGGGGCGGAAACAACTAATCCATTTTTCTTGACTACTTTTAAAAATATACTTAAATGTTTGAAATGTTGTTCTATTGATTCTGAAAATATTAATACATCATCTATGTATACTATACTGAATGAGCTGTAAGGATTGAAAATATCATTCATTATATTTTGAAATTCTGATGGTGCATTTTTTAATCCAAATGGCATAACTTTCCATTCATAATGTCCAAAAGGTGTTGTAAATGCTGTTTTGTATCTATCTTTTGGGTCTATTATTATTTGCCAATATCCTGATTTCATATCAAATTTGGAAAATATTTTTGCATTGAATAATCTATTGAGCAAATCTTTTTTATTAGGAATAGGATATCTAATCCATTGTAATACTTTATTTAAAGGTTTATAATTTATTACTAATCTTGGAACTCCTCTTTCTTTTTCAGCTTGATTCATGACATAAAATGCAGCACAACTCCAAGGTGATTTTGAAGGTGTTATTAATCCTTTTTCTATTAATATTTTTATTTCCTTCTTACAAAATTCTAGTAATTCAGAATTCATCTGTATTGGTCTAGCTTTTGTTGGAATATTCTTTTCTTCAAAGTCTTTTTCATAGGGTAATTCTATCATATGTTGTTTTCTATCCCAAAAAGCATTAGGAATATCTGCACAAATTTCTTTTTGAAATAATTCTTCTAGTTCTGATATTCTTTTTTGTATTTTAATATCATTTATTTGTTCTTCAATTTTTAAATAAGCTTTTTCTTCTTTAATATAGTTTATTTGTTGTTGTACTTTAGTAGATGGTATTTATTGTTTTATATATTGAAGATGTTTGTAATGTTTGTAATTCTTTCTGTCTTATTGGAGTTAGAAATTTGAAGGTAATAATTTTTCCCATTATATTTACTGAAATTCCTTCATGACTTACTAGAAATGGATATATTTGAATTAAAAAAGGTGTACCTAATATTACATCATGATTTATATTGTTTACAATTATGAAATTATGTCTAATACAATATTCATTATTACATATTGATCCTTTGGTAAATTTATATTTTACTTCTAAATCTTCTCCATTTGCTGCCATTAGTTTTTCTTTTTTCTTTCACAATATTTGTGGAATTATTCCTTCTTTTAATACAACTTGTATCAGCTCCACTATCTAAAGAGCTACAAATGTTTCTTTGAAATCTTCTACTGTAATAGTTACTAATGCAAACCATTTTTGAAAAGTCATTTTTTCTATAGTATTTATATATTGTCTTCTTTTATTGGTTTTCTGAGATTATATTTCTTCTGTTTTTGAATTAGAGTTTGAAGGTTGATTTCATCTATTAATGTTAATTTTGATTCTATTTCTAAATCTTTTAATTTTAATTCTATTATTTCTTGTTGTAATTGTTTTGCTTTGTTATTGGAAAAACCCTCTGCCAATGTCATTGGTAAGAGAATTCAAAATAAAATGGTGGACTGATTCAATCAAGAATTTGGCGATCAAACTAATGTCATCAGATTCCTGACCACTGGAGACAAATTAAAGTGGACAGCTACTACCACTACTCAAAAGGAGACAAGACAGTCAACAATCATTCCACCCACTACACCAGTCACTCCAAAAAGAGACAAAGAAAAAGTGACGGAAATGGCATCCGAAGAAACAGCCAGTAACTTTTTGATAAAGCAAATTATGCAGAACCCCGAGATGCTGAAAGAATATTTGAATTATTTACAAAAGCCAAAAGAAGAAGACAAAATAGAGGAGCCAGCAGGATCATCCGAATCTACTTTTGATCCTTTTGATGATCCCATCGGTGGACAAAATCCAAACGACTTTTGAAAAAGAATGTCGGCCACCACAAATGAAAGCAAAATTCAAATGAAATGCAGAATCGAGCCTCTATAAATAGATTCAAGATTCAGAAGACAGGCATCGGCGAAGAAATATCAGAAGTTGTAATAGACTTGTCTTAGTTTTCCTACGATTACCACTCACTCCGAAGTTCTCCTACTATTCCCACTCACTCTAAATAACCATTGTACTCCAAAGTCTTTGTAGAAGTGGATTTCATCATTACAATAAAGTCTTCAAGGTTGGAATTCATTACAAGCTTCCGTTAGGCACTCAACAATCAAAAGTAAGTCCAACTATTTATGTTTATTACATTCTAAGTCCCTACAATATTTGCTTCTAGTTAACGTATATGATTAATTGCAAAGTCCTGGGTAGAAGTGGTATCAGAGCCACACCCTTATTTGCATAAGCATATTTAGACTTCGTCTTTACATTTTCTAACTTTGAATTTAGTCTCTATTTAAATTATCTATTTCATGCATTTATGATCATTTATTTTATTAAACTTTTACTGAAAACGTTGGTAAGACTTGAGGCCTTGTTAGTCCGTTGGTAAGTCCAGAAAAGGATGTTCCAGGCATAGTGCTCGGTTGTTCCCGTCTAGGTAAAAATTTAATTAAAATAATAAACATGGCTGCATTTTTTAGACAATTAAAAATAGGATCAAATTCAAAACGAGATAATGTAATACAAAGTCATGAATATCATATGCCTATAAATAATTCAGATTGGACTATTCCAGAAGAAAAAATAGAACATATTTATAGAATAGGCCCTTTAGATTTCAAAACTGCTTTATCAGTTAAAACTCATGAAGAAACCATATCACTTCAAGAAGAATATCAATCAATTCAACTATTAAATCATAGCACAATTCAAAAATATTTAAGAAAAGAATATCGATATATTCATATAGGTTTAATACAGATTGCTGTAAAACCTTTATTCCATCTAGGAGTTGATGCTCCAATATATTTAGCATTAAGAGATACTAGAATAAAAAGATATAAACCTTCTTTATTATCAATGATTCAAACAAATGTTTGTAATGGACCAATATATTTTAACTGTGCTCCAAATTTTTCAATAGACTTAACAGATCCACACATTTTGAATTCAGTCATATTAGATATTCATCTACAAGGAAATGAATTTGAAAATACTTCAACTTTCAAGTATAAAACTCCTGTTCCAGAAGTTATAAATCAAAATCAATCAGATTATTCCCCGACCCATTCTCAAATGAAAGGAGAAATAAATGTTATAAGTAAACCATATAAAGTAAATCATAAATATTTACAAGAAGATTTTGATAATGAAGAAAATACTGAAAAAAGAATTTGGTTTTTTCAATTAGAATCAAAATATAAAGAAAAATTAATACTAGAATGGAAAGAGGAATTAGAAAAAAGAAAATTTGATTTTCCTTTCTTTACCTGGTTATCATTTTACATTTCAAAAATAGGAATTAATGATGTTTATAATACTTCTCAAATAAATGTTCAAACTAATTTATATAAAAAATGGAAATTAAAAGACGATCAAATATTAACTTCAATTCACCCCCCATTACAAGAAGTAAAAATTAATATAGGACAAGGAGAAATTATAGCCTCACCTTTTAAAAAAGGAAGAGAAGTTGAATCAAGTACAAATAATTCAATAAACCTAGAAGATATTAAAAAGGTTTATCAACAAAATAATTATACAAATCAAATTCTACATACGATATCTCAACATATGGAAATATTAAATACAAAAATTGACACTCTAAAGAAATCAGATTCAAAATTCCCAAATGATATATCAGCACCTCATTTCCAACCTAGAAGTTTGACAAGAGAAAAAGAGCAAGATTTAGTACAAAGTATTAATAATCAAAAAATAAATACTACAGATAATTTATTAAATAAAATATCTAATGCATTACAAAATCTAACTACAGATTCTAATTCTTCAGTAGAATTTTCTTCTATTATTTGGTCTAATGTGTTTATTTAGCAAGATACCACTTTAATTTATTACCACGATACCATGAAATTTTATTAAAATTTCAAAAAACTTTGAAATCTGCTATATAATTTAAGCATCCTAGAAATCTTTGTAATTGAGTTTTATCTTTTATTTCATCTGGAAATTTAGTAGCAAATTCTAAAGCTCTATTAATTGGTTTTATTGTTCCTTGATATATATTATGTCCTAAAAATCTTACTTTAGTTTGAAATAATTTCATTTTTGGGGCGGAAACAACTAATCCATTTTTCTTGACTACTTTTAAAAATATACTTAAATGTTTGAAATGTTGTTCTATTGATTCTGAAAATATTAATACATCATCTATGTATACTATACTGAATGAGCTGTAAGGATTGAAAATATCATTCATTATATTTTGAAATTCTGATGGTGCATTTTTTAATCCAAATGGCATAACTTTCCATTCATAATGTCCAAAAGGTGTTGTAAATGCTGTTTTGTATCTATCTTTTGGGTCTATTATTATTTGCCAATATCCTGATTTCATATCAAATTTGGAAAATATTTTTGCATTGAATAATCTATTGAGCAAATCTTTTTTATTAGGAATAGGATATCTAATCCATTGTAATACTTTATTTAAAGGTTTATAATTTATTACTAATCTTGGAACTCATCTTTCTTTTTCAGCTTGATTCATGACATAAAATGCAGCACAACTCCAAGGTGATTTTGAAGGTGTTATTAATCCTTTTTCTATTAATATTTTTATTTCCTTCTTACAAAATTCTAGTAATTCAGAATTCATCTGTATTGGTCTAGCTTTTGTTGGAATATTCTTTTCTTCAAAGTCCTTTTCATAAGGTAATTCTATCATATGTTGTTTTCTATCCCAAAAAGCATTAGGAATATCTGCACAAATTTCTTTTTGAAATAATTCTTCTAATTCTGATATTCTTTTTTGTATTTTAATATCATTTAATTGTTCTTCAATTTTTAAATAAGATTTTTCTTCTTTAATATAATTTATTTGTTGTTGTACTTTAGTAATGGTATTTATTGTTTTATATATTGAAGATGTTTGTAAGGTTTGTAGTTCTTTCTGTCTTATTGGAGTTAAAAATTTGAAGGTAATAATTTTTCCCATTATATTTACTGAAATTCCTTCATGACTTACTACAAATGGATATATTTGAATTAAAAAGGGTGTACCTAATATTACATCATGATTTATATTGTTTACAATTATGAAATTATGTTTAATACAATATTCATTATTACATATTGAACCTTTGGTAAATTTATATTTTACTTCTAAATCTTCTCCATTTGCTGCCATTAGTTTTTCTTTTGTTCTTTCACAATATTTTGTGGGAATTATTCCTTCTTTTATACAACTTGTATCAGCTCCACTATCTATTAAGAGCTACAAATGTTTCTTTGAAATCTTCTACTGTAAAATGTAACTAATGCAAACCATTTTTGAAAAATCATTCTTTCTATAATATTTATATATTGGTCTTCTTTTACTGGTTTTCTGCTATTGATATTTCGTCTGTTTTGGTATTAGAGGTTGAAGGTTGATTATTATTTATTAATGTTAATTTTGATTCTATTTCTAAATCTTTTAATTTTAATTCTATTATTTCTTGTTGTAATTGTTTTACTTGTATTTTAAGATTATTAATTTCTGATTGAAGATCTTTAGTAGTTTCTTTCTTCATTACATTTATATTTTGATATTTATCTATTAATTTTGATATGCTAAAAGGTTCTATTATCTTTGGCATTTTATCTTCTTGAATAATTAAGCTTTTTAATCTTTCCAAATATTCTTTTTTAGCTATTGGATCGTCAATTTTTTCTATTATATCTAGTAAAAATTCTTTATCTTCTTTTTTAGTTATTACATTGATATATTTTGGAGTACAATTACAATCTTCTTCACTGTCTGAACTGGAAATATCATCTAAATAATCATCTTCTATATTTTGTTCTTTTTCATTTATTAATAAATTTATTAATTTATTTTTTATCTCTTCTTCGTTTACACAAATTTCATTTATTTTTTCTTTTAGTTTACATTTATTTGCTTTATGTCCTATTCTTCCACATTTATAACAAACAATTTTCTTTTTAATAAATTTTCTCTTTTTAGTTGGTTCATTTTCTTTAGAGTTTTTATACCTTGTTTTCTTAGAGTATTTTTTAACTTTCTTTTTGTATGCTGATGGTGATTTAATTCTTTTAATTCCAAATGCATCACAGAATGATCCTACTTCTTTCTGTTTTGATCCATATTTTATTTGTAATCTTAATTCTGAACATAACATTAATCCTTCTTTTTTCACAAAAGCAAATAATTGTCCAAAAGTAATATTTTCGAATGAAATGACATCTGTTCCCATTTCCTTTTGTAAATTATCCATTATTCTTTGTGAAAATAAGCTTGGTAATCCAGTTATGAATCTTTCTTTCCAGAATGAAGCATTACAATCTGGTCTTCTTAATACATTTGTTAAGAACATATCTTTATACCATCTAAAATCTGATAAAGTTGGACATCTTAAATTTGTTAAAAATGTTTTATTAGAATTTAATTCCTCTTTTGGATTTCCTATAAAATACATAACTATTGTTACAATTAAAAATTCTGCAGCATCTGATTGTATTTGAATATTTCCTTGATCATCTTCTATTTCTTGAGTATGATCTAGTATTGATAATTTATCTTGTAATGTTAAAGCATTATCCCACCAATTCTTTAATTGTCCAGTAAATCCTGAAACTAGTAAAGTTGCAATATTTCTTTCTTGAATATTTTTAATTTTATAAGCTAATCTAGCCATTCCCATTTCTTGTAAATTATTTAATACTTCATATTCAGCTTTACCATCGATATTCCATTCATATATTGAATCTCCGTCATATTTAGTCGTTCTAAATTTTGATCTTTCTTCATATTGAATATCTGGAGGACTTGGGCATAACTTTCCATTCATAATGTCCAAAAGGTGTTGTAAATGCTGTTTTATATCTATCTTTTGGATTTATTATTATTTGCCAATATCCAGATTTCATATCAAACTTTGAAAATATCTTGGCATTAAATAATCTATTGAGTAAATCTCTTTTATTAGGAATAGGATATCTAATCCATTGTAATACTTTATTTAAAGGTTTATAATTTATTACTAATCTTGGAACTCCTCTTTCTTTTTCAGCTTGATTCATTACATAAAATGCAGCACAACTCCAAGGTGATTTTGAAGGTGTTATTAATTCTTTATCTATTAATATTTTTATTTCCTTCTTACAAAATTCTAATAACTCAGAGTTCATTTGTATTGGTCTGGCTTTTGTTGGAATGTTTTTTTCTTCAAAGTCTTTTTCATAGGGCAATTCTATCATGTGTTGTTTTCTATCCCAAAAAGCATTAGGAATATCTGCACAAATTTGTTTTTGAAATAATTCTTCTAGTTCTGATATTCTTTTTTGTATTTTAATATCATTTATTTGTTCTTCAATTTTTAAATAAGCTTTTTCTTCTTTAATATAGTTTATTTGTTGTTGTACTTTAGTGATGGTATTTATTGTTTTATATATTGAAGATGTTTGTAATGTTTGTAATTCTTTCTGTCTTATTGGAGTTAGAAATTTGAAGGTAATAATTTTTCCCATTATATTTACTGAAATTCCTTCATGACTTACTAGAAATGGATATATTTGAATTAAAAAAGGTGTACCTAATATTACATCATGATTTATATTGTTTACAATTATGAAATTATGTCTAATACAATATTCATTATTACATATTGATCCTTTGGTAAATTTATATTTTACTTCTAAATCTTCTCCATTTGCTGCCATTAGTTTTTCTTTTGTTCTTTCACAATATTTTGTGGGAATTATTCCTTCTTTTATACAACTTGTATCAGCTCCACTATCTATTAGAGCTACAAAGGTTTCTTTGAAATCTTCTACTGTAATGGTAACTAGTGCAAACCATTTTTGAAAAGTCATTTTTTCTATAGTATTTATATACTGGTCTTCTTTTATTGGGTTTTCTGCTATTGATATTTCGTTTGTTTTAGTATTAGAGGTTGAAGGTTGATTATTATCTATTAATGTTAATTTTGATTCTATTTCTAAATCTTTTAATTTTAATTCTATTATTTCTTGTTGTAATTGTTTTGCTTGTATTGGAAAAACCTCTGCCAATGTCATTGGTAAGAGAATTCAAAATAAAATGGTGGACTGGATTCAATCAAGAATTTGGCGATCAAACTAATGTGATCAGATTCCTGACCACTGGAGACAAATTAAAGTGGACAGCTACTACCACTACTCAAAAGGAGACAAGACAGTCAACAATCATTCCACCCACTACACCAGTCACTCCAAAAAGAGACAAAGAAAAAGTGACGGAAATGGCATCCGAAGAAACAGCCAGTAACTTTTTGATAAAGCAAATTATGCAGAACCCCGAGATGCTGAAAGAATATTTGAATTATTTACAAAAGCCAAAAGAAGAAGACAAAATAGAGGAGCCAGCAGGATCATCCGAATCTACTTTTGATCCTTTTGATGATCCCATCGGTGGACAAAATCCAAACGACTTTTGAAAAAGAATGTCGGCCACCACAAATGAAAGCAAAATTCAAATGAAATGCAGAATCGAGCCTCTATAAATAGATTCAAGATTCAGAAGACAGGCATCGGCGAAGAAATATCAGAAGTTGTAATAGACTTGTCTTAGTTTTCCTACGATTACCACTCACTCCGAAGTTCTCCTACTATTCCCACTCACTCTAAATAACCATTGTACTCCAAAGTCTTTGTAGAAGTGGATTTCATCATTACAATAAAGTCTTCAAGGTTGGAATTCATTACAAGCTTCCGTTAGGCACTCAACAATCAAAAGTAAGTCCAACTATTTATGTTTATTACATTCTAAGTCCCTACAATATTTGCTTCTAGTTAACGTATATGATTAATTGCAAAGTCCTGGGTAGAAGTGGTATCAGAGCCACACCCTTATTTGCATAAGCATATTTAGACTTCGTCTTTACATTTTCTAACTTTGAATTTAGTCTCTATTTAAATTATCTATTTCATGCATTTATGATCATTTATTTTATTAAACTTTTACTGAAAACGTTGGTAAGACTTGAGGCCTTGTTAGTCCGTTGGTAAGTCCAGAAAAGGATGTTCCAGGCATAGTGCTCGGTTGTTCCCGTCTAGGTAAAAATTTAATTAAAATAATAAACATGGCTGCATTTTTTAGACAATTAAAAATAGGATCAAATTCAAAACGAGATAATGTAATACAAAGTCATGAATATCATATGCCTATAAATAATTCAGATTGGACTATTCCAGAAGAAAAAATAGAACATATTTATAGAATAGGCCCTTTAGATTTCAAAACTGCTTTATCAGTTAAAACTCATGAAGAAACCATATCACTTCAAGAAGAATATCAATCAATTCAACTATTAAATCATAGCACAATTCAAAAATATTTAAGAAAAGAATATCGATATATTCATATAGGTTTAATACAGATTGCTGTAAAACCTTTATTCCATCTAGGAGTTGATGCTCCAATATATTTAGCATTAAGAGATACTAGAATAAAAAGATATAAACCTTCTTTATTATCAATGATTCAAACAAATGTTTGTAATGGACCAATATATTTTAACTGTGCTCCAAATTTTTCAATAGACTTAACAGATCCACACATTTTGAATTCAGTCATATTAGATATTCATCTACAAGGAAATGAATTTGAAAATACTTCAACTTTCAAGTATAAAACTCCTGTTCCAGAAGTTATAAATCAAAATCAATCAGATTATTCCCCGACCCATTCTCAAATGAAAGGAGAAATAAATGTTATAAGTAAACCATATAAAGTAAATCATAAATATT